AAGAACAAAAACCATATCTCTCTCTCTCGCTCCTTGCTCTTGCGTCTCACGATGTGGCCGAGTATGTAAGTGGTATCCCCCCTCCTTTTTGTGAACCCTTAATGAATATTTATAGGTAAAGTGTAGGGTTTTTTTTGCTTGCAATTATTTCCTACTTCGATTCAAAGAAGATATTGCAATATATGATATTATCAAATCAATTTGTTCAATTTAAATCACGGTAATATCCAAACTAATATTTTTCAACTCGACATTTTCCAATGAAAATTTCTGCTCTTACAATGTTCATGGGCTTGGCCAAGAAATTTTTTTTTGAACACGGGCTTAGTCCAATTTCATTAAGTTCAGAGCCGTTCACTCGAGTCCATTCACCGCCGGTCCGGTAAATATCCAAACTATATGGGCCTATTAATGAAATGCTCCTAATATCTATATGCAATTTAACGAATATTTTTGCTAGGTGTCGGGATCGACTCCTAATTTTCCTATGCAATATGTACCTAAATGGATCGCCAAAATTTAGGTGTCAACAGCCGCTGATAATACTCCCATGCAAAACATTGGAGCATTTCAACGTCTCATAGGCAAGTTGATTTACTTGACTATTACTCGACCAGATATTACTTACGTAGTTAGCTATGTAAGTCAATTCATGCAAAATCCGACTCAAGGGCACATGGATTTGGTTGATCGATTGCTGAGGTACTTGAAAACTACACCAGGAAGGGGTATTTTAATGAAGAACAATGGGCATACAGATATTGTCGGGTATGCGAGATGCTGATTGGGCGGGAAGCCCCAATGACAGGAAGTCTACTACGGGCTTTTGCACCTTCGTAGGAGGTAATATTGTTACTTGGAAAAGTAAGAAGCAAAATGTCGTTGCTCGTTCAAGTGCTTGAGCGGAATATCGAGCAATGGCTACTACTACTAGTGAGATAGTTTGGCTGCACCTTCTCCTCCAGGAATTAGGGTGCAAACCAAGAACGTCACCTACGAAGCTGTTTTGTGATAATCAAGCTGCTGCTCATATCGCCTCAAATCCCGTGTTCCATGAAAGAACAAAACACATTGAGGTAGACTGCCATTTTGTACGGGAAAAGGTTCAGGATAACACCATTGAAACTCCCTATGTTCGAAGTGAAGATCAGTTGGCCGATATTTTCACCAAAGCCCTTGCTAAAGGACCATTTCAGGACATGGTGAACAAGTTGACCTCTGATGATATCTTCGGTCCAACTTGAGGGGGAGTGTTGACCGAATCGACAGGATCCTCCTATTTTGGTAGGAGAAAATTATAGGATATTCTCCTGATTTGGTGTTCTTTCCTTGTTCAATTGTTACTCTGTATATTCCCTGTAATTCTGGAAACAATTATGTACCTCTATCAATAAAAAGGCAGTCCCTCTCTCAAAGAATTTATAACAAAAGAAACTTTGAGAGAGGATTCCCAAGGACGTAGGCTTACTTAGCCGAACCTCGTTAAATTGTGTTTGCGTTCTTTGTCTCTAAATTTATCATATGCCATCAATGAATCATGCTCTACAAAATCTTTATGTGGTCATTTACATGTTAGCCAGCTTCTGTATTTCCAAAACCATAGGGAAATACAAGTAAAGTGCAATAATACCCCAAAAATACACGTATTTAGGGTTCCGTATGCATTTTCATACCTTTAAAAGCTTCAAACATATACAATAAATATACCAAAATGTAGAGAATTTCAATACGAACACAACGGTACCAACCACAGCCCGATTGGAGCTCCCACGCGCCCACACGCACCGCTTAAGTGCGCGGCACGTGTGGCGCACGCGCCTGCCCTATACGAGCTTCTGAGCCGGTTCGACCGGTTTGACCGTTGACCGGTTCGACCGTTGACCGGTCCGACCGGTTGACTGTTGACCGGTCATGGGTCGGGTCGTGGTCGGGTCACCGTCCGGGTCGGGTCTCCAATTCGTGTCGGGTCGGGTCGCCGGTCGGGTCGGGTCAGGTCGCCGGAGGTCATCGGCCGGCGAGATGACGTCATCAATGACGTCAGCGTGTCGTTACCGACAGTTTTGCTGACGTCATCGATGACGTCAGCATGCGCCGTTTGGCCGACGCGCGAGTGCCATTCACGCGCTGGCAGGGCCAGCGCCTTGGGCGCGTGGCTCCCACGCGCTGCGGCTTCTGGCCGCGCGTGTGGGCGCGTGGCTCCCACGCGCTGCGGCTTCTGGCCGCGCGTGTGGGCGCGTCCGGCGTCTTCCGGCGGCGCTCGACACACCGTTCTGCTCGTCTCGGCGAGTTCTTCAATTTTATAAAATAAAAATTAATTTTCACCGTAAAGAATTTTCCGAAAATCATCCGAACAGAACGGTCGCCCGTAACCTTTCAAACCCGTTCTTCGTTTCAATTCATGTTCGACGATTCATCTTGCAATTCCCGAGTAATGAACATGCAGACAGTATGAAGTTCATCATCATGATCTCCATATCAAACAGCAAGCGGAAAAAATCAACTGGAAAACAAGGCAGAGATCATAACCAAGGCTCTGATACCAATGTTGGAAGCGAGTTTCGGGAGAATCGACTAACCTAGTTCGATGCACTCCAAATAAATTTTCCATGACTGTACGTTGAATCACCAGCAAACGATGAACGAATTTACTACACGTTGGTCCGAATACAATCACAAGGAAAGTATTCTCGTTCCACAGCGTTAATGCCAATTGTCTTCTCAAAGTAGATACTGAATCCTAAATATGTCGAGAGAGAGAGAGTTATGAATTTCACTCTTGTTCATCATCTGAGGAAGTTATCTTAACTTCCCTTAAGAAACTCTTCTCGCACCACTTCAAATGGTGTCCCTTGGATACACACATCATGGGCGGACCGACGAAATATAACAGTCACGAACCGTGATTCTCTCATATCTTTATAAGTGGAGCTTAATGTCGTTAAGGTGAAGAGAGAGTAATGTATAGAGAATAATACAACTGGTTCGTGCGAGTGGCATCAGAGCGATTTGTGCTAAGAGTTCTAGGTTAGAATGAATATACCCCTTAGAAGCTTTGAAGGCGGGATTGGCCACCTGTGCATAAACTGGTCGAAAGCTAATGCCGCTCTCTTGACGAGGTCATGACAGGTCGAAACCAGTTGTTGTGCCTAAAATGTTTTGCGTATCTAACTTGAGGGACTGGATACCCGAACTAAGCTAGGCATAGTACAATATGATACGAGGATGCGATTCATTGTACTATTTTTAGGAACAATTATAGAAAGGAGACCGGACTGGGGTCTTCTCGATTCGCTAGGCGCCACACGTGCTATTCCGCTGCCAAGGAACTGCCGGCCCGTAATGAATGCATATAGAGACAGTATACAGGCAAGGGTCGCGACCATCGCCACAATAGCAGCCGACGGTGGCGACAACACCTCTCACAGACGACCCAACAAGCCTCACTCATACGACCTCTGCCTAGATTCATGTCCTCAACGAAGACCAAAATATGAGCTGCAAAAATCAAGAGAAAAACTCCAGCAGGAATTGCACACGGATCTTCAAGTCCGTCCATCTACATGAGATTCAGTTTTTTTTTCTTGACTTGATCTCCAAAATCACCTTCCATCCTCAATTTGCTCTTTCTTTTACCATCAACAATATTAACCTATCCACCCATGGGTAGCTCAGTTGGTTATGACGTATTTGGGATTATGTGGTTAGGCACACTGGTCACAGGTTCGATTCCCCAACTGAGCACTTGTGATTTAAGTGGGGGGCCATGGCGGTGGGTTGCTGTGCTAGTCTCCCCCGAGGAATAGTCGAGGTGCACGCAAGCTGGCCCGGACACCTCGGTTACAAAAAAAAAAAAACAATATTAACCTTACTCTCCAACTTCATTTCCATATTCAGCCATAAGAATCACATTAAAAAAAAAAACAGCCGACGATAATAAACATACTTGACCTCAAAATCTACTTTCAAATTCAAGTACTTTTGATGCTCGCAGATACAAGGAACAAAGAAGAAATAAATGAATGCAACTTTCCCAAATTATGAACTGCTCAACTGACCATAGTTAACTACCCCCCCTCAAAGGACCCATTTTTTGGCCAAAAATAAAAAAGGGGCGGCTCAATCATTGGCTGCCGTGCTGATTCGCCCGAGACTGGCCACGGATGACGGCCCCTCGCCGGTATATCCACATCAGTAATCAATCTAGTTTTTTTTTTATCAGAACGTAATCAATCTAGTTAGTAATGTTGTGATGTTGACATGGTCTACAACGTTAGTAATTTCATTCTTTGTACGTTACGAAAGGACCAACATTGAAAAAATAAAAATAAAAATTTCTAAGAACATTTTGCAAAAATTCAGCATACTCTTGGTGCTTTTGTCCCTTATTTTTACTATTGTCGTATAATTTCTAATATATATTTCTAAGAACTTTTGGGTGATTTCAGGCGTTTTAGCTTGAACTTCCAAACAAATGAAACTTTTAGAAAGTTCAATTTTTTTTCTAATTAAGGGTGCATTTATTTCATGGAAAACGAATGATTTGAAAAATATTTTACTAAAAATAATTGATCGTCTTGTTTACCAAATTGAACGAACGAAAAAAAAAATTGTCATTGTCCACAAAAATGTTTAAACATAAATTGATATCGATAATGAAATATTTTTCATTGGCTAATTATTTCAAACGATAGAAACGATCATTTTTTAGAAAATATTTTTCAAATCATTCACTTTTCACGAAACAAACAGAATCTAAACTAGTTGATGTTTTCATTAAAAAAAACAGCTCTGGGCAAAAAACTGTTGTAATTTCGTTGCCAAGCTAAGGCGGGAATTACGCCGCCCATGGAACACCTATAGCGACGAAAAACTACGGCAATGATCCGTCGCCGTCGATCATTTCAAAAAAGAATGAAGCTGAAATCTGTGTTAAGCAATATGGCGACAACCTTGACCACCTATTAAAGTGAGGCGGGTCGACTAATCCAGGACGCACGTGAACGATAACACACAAGGTACAGATTTATTGAGACAATCCAAGTCTGAAACATATGACTCTGTACGTATTATGTTTTCATCAGTGTGTGTTCAACAGAAGCAAAGCATCCTGATGAAGTATATGACACAGTCCCTTGAATCAAAACCAAGCCCAACATAATGTTGATGGCAGTTATTTACATAGCGTATGATGACCAGGGCATGTTTCAGCCACTCTTCTTGGACAGCCACCTGCTCATGTTGAACTTCTTGTGCTCTATCTGGATGAATTGGTCGGCTTCTTCGTTGATGTTCTCGTCCACAAACTTGCTGCCCACGTCTTCCTTCACGGCATGCGCCGGAGCATACTCGTAAACCTCGTACTCTACGGCACGGACCCTACGAGCCTCCGTCCTATCGGTGTTGCCATATTGACCGTCGTAGGTATGACGATGGTTTGCATAGTATGGATAGCTGTCGTACAAGATCGCTTCCGTGTCGGCGCGCTGGACTTGGTAATCACGGGTTTCGTCCATGTGGTGGTGGTGGTGATGGTGCCTGGCATGATGAGGGGACTGGACTCGGTAATCACGTACTTCGTCCCTGTTATGGTGGTGCCTAAAATGATTAGGGGTGCTTGAAAACGACATTGTTGCTTTCTAGGTGGGGCTTGGCACAGAAGCTAAGGAAAACTGTTTTTAAGTTATCTGTACTGCCTTCATTTTCATCTGCGGTATTTATAGGCCAATTTGAAGCATAAGATCATAAGGCTCCAATTGAATGGACTAAGACGAATTCGATTCGGGGATTAGGCCACGATGAGATGCTAAAGAGGACCACGTTTCTTTAAGCTTGGCGAAAAAAGAAGAATCTCTTGAAAAGCACTTTGGCAACTTTATTCTTCTGATGGAATCCTTTGAAAATGCTGTTCTAATAAAGACTACAAACGGATAACCTTGTGCGACTTTTTTGTATATGCTCGTTGCGTGTAGGGCCGATAAATGGGTGGATTGGGTCGAGTTTGCGTAATGGTCCTACCCAAATTGACTCATTTAACTCGTTTTGATCCATTTATATACAATACAAATTTAGTGATTCATACCTGATCTGACCCATCTACTAAAATACTTCCATATTTAATTCAACCTATGAAAATCCGTATTAACCTAGTTAACTCACTTTAAGCTCTTCACTTGTATATGTTATACGGATAAAATCGTTATTTCAATGATAAGATGATAAAGAATTGGTTTTCAACATTGTATGGAATTTTCAATTTTTGTATTGATTCACCGTGAAAAATAAGAGAATGTTAATACTTGGTAGTGAATTTATAAAATTACAGCAATAGATAGCATGGAGGAATTGAAATTTTAATTAAATGGAATGTAAGATATTGAAGAAAATGATTTATGCTGACCCTAGATTACAATGACAAGAACTAAGATTAGAATATAACTTAAAAATAACAATGCCAAATGCAACCAAGAAAATATATACTCTAATAACTAACGGACGAAATTTACACGATTAATAAAAATAAAAAAATAATGAGGAAAAAAAGAAGCCGTCTTGATATATTTAATAAGGGTAAAGCCACGCCCATCTTGCAAGCCCACCAAGACTTCTCTAAACTTAGAATAATCCGATAAATCAATTATTTTCTCATAGAAGATCAAAAAAGAGTCACAAATATGAGTTGGGTTTTGGCAAACTGTGAACCCATTTAACACTCGTATATTTTTTGTTGTGTCATTCTAAACCGGTTTATAATCTATTTATTGAATATAGCAAACTCATATAAAGACTCAACCCATTAAATGTAAGTTAAGAAATGGGCCTATGACCCATGCTGACAAGTTTAGTTGCGCGATCCATTCGCCATGGAATCAAATCTTTAAAGAATCTAAACACTTTTTGAATTTTACGACGGGAGCTTAGATATTTGTTTCAGGCTCGTGTGTTTTGACTAGTGTGAACATAAAGTCCCGGAATTCGGAAAGGTGGAGGTTCGAGCCGCGATGAAACCGCCGCGCCTCCGGATGCGAGCGGCTTATTCGTAGCCAAAACTTAGGGAGAAATCACGTCCTCCCATTGAATATTCAAGAGCATCAAATTCCTCGAGAAAAAAGCTGAGATCTTTTAATAACAGTTCATAGCTTGAATGGAAGGAGAACTAACAACAAAGTTCGAAATGACAAGCGTTTTGATACCATTTCATTATTAAAAAGAGAGGTGGGAATGAAAGTATGGCTAAAGCTTGCACGTATTTGCCTAAACAGGGTCGATCATGAGCTAGCTTTACCCATTGAAGTTGTTTTTTTATTGGCACTACTAACATTTTCTATTGAGAGGATATAAATTTATGAACGATGAATTTCACATTTTAAATGTGGAGTGTCTTGTAAATTGAGATTCATTCGAAATTATGATTGCTGGCCCATCAAAAATAGTTTTAAAAGTTTGCTACTTGAGTGGGTATAATCTACATGAGTATATTTTTCCTAAAGTAAGGAACATTGCTTTCCTCTATGTATAAAAACTACATCAATTCATGCACCGATACAATGCATGTCAATAGTTTAGCAATACCTTAAATAACTTAAGAAATTTGATAGTCTTAGGTTTTTTTTTCCCAAAGTATATTGATTTGCGATTAAACAATCCTATGGTACATCAATTCTATGCTAGCTCGGGCACGACATGACTTGACCCTACAAGATCCTGTTATGAGCACGTCTATTTGCTACCGGGCTAATGCTCGACCCAAGCTTATGGACCCTAATGGGCGGACCCGAGCTTGAATCTCTTTTGACGGCCGAGTCCATTGCTTGGGCCCATGTGGACTAGGGCCACATGGGCCTACAAAAATAAAATAAAATGGGCCTCAAAGGGCCGAGGCCGAGCGGCTAACCGGCTAGCTGCATGACAAAAACAAATCCAAGTATTTTTATTAAGGGTTAATATCACGAAAAATCCCAAACTTATATACCTATGACAAATTTACTCCAAACTAATTTTTTGACCACCAAAAACCCCAAACAAGTATACTCGTAACAAATTTACCCCAAACTAGATTTTTGACCACCAAAAACCCCAAACCGGTACACTTGTAACAAATTTACCTTTCGTTAGTTTCCATTGAATTGGATTAATACAATGAAAAATCACAAACTAGTACACCTGTGAACCGGTACACCCGTCAACTATCATGTGTCATCAAACTCGGCAATTTGATGGTAAAATTTCACGAAAACTAACGGAGAGTAAATTTGTCACAAGTGTACCAGTTTAGAGTTTTTGGTGGTCAAAAAATTAATTTGGGGTAAATTTATCACGAGTATACCAATTTGGGATTTTTTCGTGATATCAACTCTTTTATTAATTAGAGGTCTCTCCTATCGTTTTTACCTTCATTCCTCTCTCACGAATTCTAAAAAATTTCTGACTTTCTAACAAATTCCCACTTTGTATCCACGATTCCCTTCGCTATTTCGATCTTGAAATAGGCCACAACCGCTACCAAACTCACTTCCCAGATGGCGAGCCGGTACCTCTAGGCTAACTATGGCACTTTGATTCTTTCACTACCTTGGCGGAAGTGGAGTGGAGTAGAGTAGAGTAGAGGAAGATCTGCCGGAACCTCTCTTTGTGCCCGCCACACCAGAGCAACATCAAAATTCCGTGACAGCAACAATGATACGCAACGGCCAGGGCACCAATGGGCCACCACCCCTTCTCGAGGCGACGTCGACACCCCATTCCTCGGCGAAACCCTACCCTTAACACCAACGACCGGCGAAACCCCAAATAAAGCCGCACAGAGTTCTCAGCGATGGACGTCCACTATTCCGAAGACATTCAAAATCGAGGTCTTCCCCTATGGTACGAAGTTGACGGTGTGCCAATTTGAGGGTGGGACGGGCCACCTGACGAGGCACCAAAGCAAGCACGCTTTGAGGGTGGGACAGGCCACCTGACGAGGTACCAAAGCAGGCACGCTCCAGTATTAGGGCTTGGGGGGAAGCTCAACTCGTGCAACGAGCTATACCGGCAGCACTTCCAAGTACGACTGGATGAGGAACACATGACTACGTGCACGTTATACACTCGCCGTCGAGCAGCCCCTTGGCTTCGGGGAATATCCAAGGTTTGTGCGGTACATGTAAGGCGCATCGCAACTGCATGTTAGGCCCCGTCCCACCATCGACAAACACGGGGAACTGCAGGGGATTTTACTAAGATAAAAGAGCGGAATGGGTGCATCTCCTCTCCGCACGTAATTTTCAAGTCGTATCATCTTCGGATTTGAGGACAAGTCAAATCAATTTCGCATAGTTTTGTGCTACGAGCCACAGGATCGGGCAAAATTAAAGTTGCACCATCGAACTATGTCGTCTAAAAGGTTGCCATATCCGCATAATCGGACAATGCTTATGCGAAAATGACTTTTGCATATCAGACAAGGTCTTTTCCATTAACTTGGACAATACCAGTGGGAACAAACCCGTCACTAGCACCTTGATTGGATTCGAGATTCAAGATGAATTGGCTCGGAGCTTTGCTTGCCTAATTTTATGAAAATTTGGGCCTTGTTGAATCGGCGGATGTACAGTAATCTTGGCCCAAGTGAGGAGCTGGCTAGACAATTTGCATGGCACGTATGCTGCCCGATACGGTTCGAGGAACTACGCTCCATGGACGGAGATGCCATCATCATCGAGCAAGCTACGCTCCATGGACCAGTTCGGCACTGACTAGACCGCCACATCAGCGATTTTCGGCCAAAATCGGCCGGAATGATTAAATTGGCAAATCGTTAAAAAATCGAGAGCCAAATGGACAAATTATCAAAAGATCTAGAACTAAATTAACGAATTGTTAAAAGGTTTAAAACTAAATTGTCACGTTCGTCTGCGAGAGATGAGAGCGGAAGTGATTTGTTAATTGGGTGGAGAATTTGTCTCACTTCACATCCAATTGTCATTTTCTCCTCTCCCCATCTCCTCCAAACAAAATGCCTTTGACTTTACAACGTGGTTGTCTAGTTGATGACGAAACATCCTCAACTCGTTAATTGCAACGACGAAACCTAAAAAGATCTGTCATAAGCAGCGTGTCCCACCAACCACTATGGACTAATTGTCTAACGTCTATGTCCCTTGTACAACATTGCGTGTTCCAAGGGGGAAAAATGAGAAGAAAGAATGATTTCATTTGCGTCTGTTTTGAAATCATCGACGCCATTTGTCTGGCCAGCTTAGTTCGTCATCGCCTAAAAACAGTAACAGATGCTATCTCGTTACAAGAAATGGAAATGGAAAGAAGAAAATGAAGATGAAAATCAAGAGGAGAAGATGCTCCTTCACTTATTACCATGTGAGCTCAGACATATGTGGAAAAATGTTAATAATCGATGCTGTATGACAATCAATCAGAAGTCAATAATGCACGACAACTCCAAGCAAGCCCATTATTTTGATGTAGATCGCGTCTATCGCGTTAACATAAGTTCCCATTTATTTGGATTTCTTCCAATCAATGAGTCAATCATGGGTTTCCAATTGATGAGAGCCTTTAATTAAATTCATATTTTCAATTTGCCCTCTTAAGAAGCTAACATATCAACATACAATGAATAGTTTTTCTTTTCTTTTTTATAATCGAGTGGCATAGGGAAAAAGACCTAGCTACCTTGGAGGTCCCTGAAACACTCTACAAGTCTCATAAACCAATTAAGTCTAAATATTTGGCATATAGGTCTTATACAAGTTTCCCTAACCCAAATCAGTTCACATGTAATTAAATGTTGTTGGTTAACATGATGGACGCGACATGGAGGGCTTTTGGGAGAGAGAGAGAGAGAGAGAGAGAGAGAGAGAGAGGAGGCCAGTTGGATGTTGTTGATTGTTTTGGCTTGAAGCCATGGAACTTAGGGTAGAAGTAGGACAAAGTGAACCTAATTTGATAACAGAAGTAGGCCAAGGTCAAAGAGACAAGAAAGGAGTGAATAACTATGCCTTCACCAAATGCTTCATGGAACTTGGGGTAGGAGTAGGACCAAGTGACCTTAATTTGATAATAGAAGTAGGCCAAGGTCAAAGAGACAAGCAAGGAGTGAATAACTATGCCTTCCCTTTATGCCAGCTTCTCCTGCCAGAGAGGCAAGCCTGGTCCTTCCTCATCTCCAGTTAGACAGAACATGATAAAAGTTGACCCACGCTATAGACAGCATATTCGGTTGTCATGATAGGCAAAAGCCAAAATATCTTATCACATTCATCAATTGGAGAACATGTCCTAACAAAGAAACCTGAGACTATCAGCACTAATCAAGCAGGCTGTCGCGTTGAATAATCTGATACCATTAGACTTTTTTTAACCTATCGGCAGACAGAAGATGCATCAGGAGAACCCATTGCTAATGTGAGATTCATTGCTCTTTTTTTCGGCATCAATCGACCATAAGCTTGTGTTAGACCAGCAAATCCTTATGTCATGGTAATAGTTGACAACCAAATTCAGAACCAAAAACCAAGTCAAGGGCATCTCACATTGGGAAACACTGAAACCCGTTCAACTAACCCTAAAGATCCTCGGGCCAAACTCAAGAGGGCCAGCATTGCACAAAACACTACCAGCTGATATTTTAAAGGCAATGCAAGGCTGTTTGCTATGTTTTTTGGGCATGTCGCCTTGAATATGCAACTCTGCATAAAGAAAGACCCTGAGAAGGACTTCTACATGAATGTGCAACTGATGGCAAATTGCTGAACTAACAGTCACAAGCAATTCCCAACCTTGGAAAACATACCTGTAGAAATCACATTTTGCTGAACTCATCGGTCGCCTCCTATGAAATGCATAGCGACAAAAGACCAAATTATTCTGAAGCCTGTCTCTATAGCGCTGATAATGGCGAAATGTATCAACAAATCCTTTTCCACGTGATCGAAGAGAAAGTCTAAATTAACACTCATAGCACAGACGTGTGCTCGACAATAACTGGTAATAAACTTCTCCAGGAAAAAAGGAGATAGAGCAACATTCAGAACAAATGAGCCGGGGGAAAGCAATGGCGTTAGCTCTATGAACACTAGATAAATAATGGCAATCAGATGGTACAAATGAAATTCGTCAAGACGGACATTTACGCATAAATTTGTCTCAAAACAGAAGCAATATCAGTTGGTATACAAGGCAAAACATGTGATACCAACGCCTAAGTAAAAATACAATCGCCAACAAGTTTCATCAATTCCCACCATGGCTAACAAGCCCTCCTCCCAGCAACCATTACTCCTCCAACTCCGGAAAAAGATTATGTACAAAGCCTCACCTAAATGTCCAAGATGGTCTCAAAAATCCCGGAACAATGATATCTCAGCTGGACATCCAGAGCAGCTACATCAGCGACATGCCATGACGATGAACTCGTCCAGTGAACTCCTGATGAGGAGTCAATAAAGCTGTGCCTGAAGCCTTCATAGAGCTCACACGCAGTATGAAAATGTCAGCCACTTTCTCTCTGGCAATTTCCCGGCAAAAGAAATTTGTACTTGTCGGCATTTTCCAGGAGATATGAAGGAAGGTGAACGGCCGAGAAGGAATGCGGAACAGGTCCCATCTTCCCAATGATCTCCTTGAACGTGTACTCCTCTGGAAGCATATCGAAAAGATCAGCCCCCTTGCATATCACTCTCTGAACTCTCTTCGGGTTCAAAAAGTGGGGGAACCTCACTCTATCGAAGTGGCTGTAGGCCTTCATCTTGAATATGAACTCGGAGATGTGGCGGAAGCAAAAGCTGCAATGCCACCCAGCATCTGCCAAGATGTCATCCGTCTGACGATAGTGCGCATATTTCGTCTTGCCAGATTGATACCTATGCACCGACGCTCTCCAGCTATTATTATCAACTAGGAATTCGAACGAATAGAGATAATTCTTAAGCCGAAGATGCAGAATAGGCGGGATCTCATCGCACCACCGCAAGAGATTGATAGTGTGTCTGCTCGGAATCTCATCCACGTCCGACATTATCAACAAATCATCATCAGTTATGCCAGCAAGCTTAAGGAGCCGATCCAACATGACTCTTTGATAAGCTTCCTCGACGAATGGGTTCTCCCCCTTCTTAAATCTCCCTGCGATATTACCGTAAGTCAATCGAGGCTCCACAAATTTGAACTGATCTTTGTTGGCGGAAAAAACCAGAGGTTTTGGGAATCCAGTGAAGGTTGAATTCGATTCGAGGAGAACAAACTGTGTTATATAAGGGTACAGCTCTTTCCACCTAATAGTGAGGAGGTCCAGCTCATTGCTGAACAACACAGCATCATAGACGCGTCTCGGGAACTCCCGAATCCCCCAACCGTGGAGCTTGCAGAGGTTCTCCATGGACACGTTCTCGTGGTAGTAATGCGGTATGTCGTTGAACGGTTTGGGCGGCGACTCCCATAACGGCCGCAGGAAGTACGAAATCTTCTGCCCATGTATATAGATACCGAGAATACATGTCGGGATAAGAATGAACAGCAGCAAGAGCGTCTTCAAATCCAAGCCTCGCAGCATGCAACGCAGTCTCGACAAGCTCAAAGCTCGATCTGAGTCCTGCAAAATTAGAATTCACACATACCCTTTTAGAACCCAATTCAATGGCAACTAACAAAGACCCAAAAAAAAAAAAAAAAAAAAAGGTAAACCAAGAACCATGGATACAACAAAAAGCTTAGCTAATGCCCAGCGTCAACAAGAAACCAGAATCCACAAGATGCAGAAACACACAAGATTGGGCTTTCAAATGTCAGCCAATTAATTTTAACAAAAAAGCTCCAAGCTTTCCTTTCTTTCCAGTCCAAAAAAACCTAGCACACACTTTTCCACCTTCTATGGATGCTTATAAAAATAAAAAAAAAGCCGTATGCTTTCTCAAAGATCATGTCTAATCCCTGATCTGCCGATGCTTCACAGATCAGTGTCTCCTCACCCATCTACTTTAGGGCTCACAAATCAAACAGAAAAAAAACACGACAATGAGAAGCGAAATCACACGGCCGAAACCACAAGGTCTCTGTTCTTCGCCCCACAGGGATGCATCGGCGAAAGCGTAGGAAACCAACCCACATTTTCGCCGCGGGCGAGGAACAGACGGACCCGACCATTCAACTGACGAATCGAAACACCAAGACGAGATCCGAAACGAAGCCCCCGCACGGGACAGAAAAAAAAGAAAGAACAACAGATCGACATCGGCATCGACAAAAGGGTCCGAGCGAGGGTCGCGGAGTTTTACCTGGCCACAGATGTCGGCGCAAATATCATCGCTCTTCTTGTTGCAGTAATGCCCACCAGTCTCGCTCATCATCCACCACATTTTCTTGCCCTCCTCAGATTTCTCTCCTTCCCTCACACGGGAAAAACACAAGGGACGATGGACAGCGATCTGCCCCACGTCTCTCGATCTCGACAGATCCCGGGGGCTTTTTACCCAAATGCCCCCGCACCCCCCCACCTTCGCGATCCACCGGACGGCAAAAGGAACCAGAGAACTCAAGCAGGCTCCAACCCTCCCCCAAAGCAAAGCCTCGCTCCGATCTCGGCAGGCAGCTCTCCAAAGTTCGCGACTTTGAGGCGCGAACACCAAGCCCAAGAGCTCCTCCTTCGAGGGTAGCAGCCAAAAAGAAAACTTGCGGCCTGTGGGTGCCTCTCCTCCTCCTTCAGCCGGATGCAGAACCGAGAGGGGAGAGAGAAGAGAAGGTGGGAAGCTCGCACGCAGGGACGAATGGAAAGAATGAAAAGAATAAAAGAATATGACGACGACGATGATGAAGAAGAACAACAAGGAGATGGGGGGGGAGAGAGGAGATGAAGGAGAATCTGATGGGAACGAGAGAGAGAAAAAAGCTGTGGCCTCCCTGTTGATTGGGTGGCAGTTGGAAAGATCACTCCCTCCTCCCTCCACGATGCGTCCCAACTTTCTCTCTCTACTATAGTTTCTCTCTCTTAAAAAAAAACAAAAGGGCCCTTCTTCGCGACCCACACACAAAAGGCAGAGGAGCAGGAGAAGAGAAGAGAGCCGTTTTCGCCTTGGTGTCGTAACCCCACGGCTTTTTCTCCCTTATATCAAGAACCGAGGAAAGTAGAGGAAAGCTTCCACCCCCCGAGATTCCCCCACGATCCGTCGATGGCCGCACTGGGGCGGGGGGCGGGAATTTACGATGGAGGCCACGCGGGAGCCGCGAAGGAACCGCGTGTCGGGCAGCCGACGGGCCAGCGGGGTGCGAGGGTACTTTGGTCATTGCACCTCCCGCTTATCGATCGTTGCTGTGTATTTTTTTTTTTTTTTTCGTCTTTTTGGTAATAATTTGGGTGGGGGGTCCCGACGCGTCTTGTGACTGGGGCTCGAGGACAGACTGGGTCGCGTTTCGCTTGACGCCGTCGTTGCGAATGGAAGAGAGAGAGAAAGAAGAGAGAGAGAGAGAGAGAGAGAGAGTTGTATTACGTGCCACGTCCCACTTGATTATTCGACCCCCAGGAAAACGAAGTCCCAATGATTAATCGATCACATGGCGAGTAATATCTTGAACAGTGCACCTAAGTTAGGCGGCAAATCCGTCGAATTAGCCGAATTGAAAAGTTCCGATGTCCCGGTTCGCCGAAGAAAGCGGAACAACAACAGAAAAGAAAGAATTTGTGGAAAATAGTCGAGAAGAGCACGGACCCCTTTTTCAGGCCCTTATAGACTCGAAACGAGCACGGTTTATTAACCGAACCGAACTATCTGAAAACTGGAAAGGCTGCGAGATCCGGCGTTCGATCCCGAATGAACCAGACTTTCTTAGAATTAAAAGGTCTTCCTCTGGTGAGCTATGGCGCTCGGCTCGTGTTGCAGACCTTTCGGGAGTCCCGATAGGATAGAAATGAACGCGATTTATAAGTAAATTGGAAGCTCCTCCAGATCAAGCACTCGACTCACTAGGAGCCGAATTTTCTTAGAATTTGAAGCTCTTTCGTTAGTGAACTATGGCCCAGAACTTATATGCACAGGATGGATTCGGCTTCCGAAAAGAAGAGGGGGGAAAAACCACTCTGCCGTTCAAAAGTTTTAATGATCCGTATCGTAAAAGAAAATAAAAAAATGGAATCCCGATGAAAAATAATCAAAAGTGTGATTTTAATTGATTCTACGGACAAATATCACAATCTCTCTGAAACATTCAGGGCCCATCTGTTATGCGGAACATCAATGATCGCTTGTATTTCTTACGAAAATGAATGAACGGAAAATGTTTTTATCGTCCACGAAAACATGTAGACATAAATTTTTATAGATAATGAAATTATTTTTTGATTAACTAATTATTTCGAGCGATAAAATCCGATCATTATCATCCACTTTCCGCCGACCTAAAAATCATTCGATCAGTCGTCTCGCAAAGTTTCTTGCATTTTCATTAAATTTACCAAGCCAAATTTGATTTTTAGTCGCTAAAAATGTGGAGAGGTCGTGCGAATTTCGTCAGATTCAACGGTTAACAAAAGCTTCGCTTCACATTCCAAGAAACGAAGGGAAGGGGAAGGAAGAATTTCTTCGGTGGCGACGTGGACGGGCGTGATCTCGACAACTCTAGGGCGGTTGGTCCGACGGCGACACGCGTGCCGCTTTGGTCCGTCGTGTCGGGGAGGACACGTGGCCGATGCTTTGCGGGGCGATTGGGCGGAGGGCCGACATTTTTTCTCCGCCGTGGTGGTGGCGGTGGTGGTGGGGGCGGTGGGCCCCCGACCGCGGCATTTATAGGGAAGAGGCCCAGTAATCACCCACCTGTCAGACCGCGCAAAATTCCAAAAAAAACGACGTCGTTAAACTAATGAATCAAACGGGCGTTGTGCCGTGAGGGGAAAACAGCCGGGCGTGGCCATTACGGAAACGATACGCGTAACTCCCAAAGTGGACATGTTATTCGCCTAATTCCCTTACAAAAAATTAAAAAATTAAAAAAAACTACGACTTTTTTCCTATTTAAAGTAAGAAATCATTCCGTCGAAAAAAAAAAAGTAAAAAAAGTTCACAAATTGTCACTCCCGTCCCGAATTTGCCCCCGCATCCAGAAACCACCACCGGACTACCGTCGTTCCGTACGAAGGTGAGGCTATTGGTGAAGACGGGAGTTTGATAACGAACCTTTAACTAGCCCTGATGTTGCTAATGTCGATAAAAACAAGTGGCAGTTTCTGGACACGAGGGCATATTCGGGACTAGAGCGAAAGTTTGTGGATTTTTTTTCTTTCCCGGACAAAAGAGAAAGAGTCCGGGGCAATAGTGAGAATAGATCTAAAGCATGAGGTTTTTTTGGATAATTAGGCGTGTATAAAAAAAAGGTCGGGTATTTTCTTGGTAAATTCGAAACGGCGTGCCGAAAAAAATATAAAAAAATATAAAAAAATGAACCGGAGACCGCATCCGGTCTGAGGGGTTCTCCGTAACAAGGGAAGGCGAATCGGTCAATCGTTGACTCGAGACTTCGGAGGAATGGAATTGTCCGAGCAGAGCAGCAACCTCTGCGAAATCGAGTAGAAAGAAACGTTCCTTGTTTTAGTCCGTTTCAACACTTGAACCACACAACTCCATTATTATTATTCCTTTCTTTTTTATTTGATTGCTAATTTTGTTGTCTTCCCTTTTAGTCCTTCTATCCATAATCAATTGTAATGAATAAATGAGACTCGAAAGTCTGGGAGTTCGTTGACTTAGATGGAAATTTTTTTTTTTTTTTGTTTGTGCGTGCGTGGTTCGTTTTTGGAGAGGAAAAGCGAGGGAGAAAATTGTCCAAAATGTCACAAACCTAGTGTGCGGAGATCAATTCGATCGTAAACCTTTCGATCGTGCCTATTTAGCACTAAAACTTTTGACGATCTGACAATCGGTCGTGAACCTTTTAATTGTACCGATTTAGTGCTGAACCTTTTTTAGTCCTAAACCTATAATTTAGATATTTGGTCGGAAGGATTGAATTGGCAAATCGTCAAATGATTTAGGACTAAATTGGCATAAATTAAATATTTAGGACTAAATTAGCACATTTTAAAGGTTTATGATTGAACTGGCCTCCGTACAATAGGTACGAGGCTTTTGGCGTCGACGAGTCAAACTTGGTAGAATTCGATGGATCAACCAGGTCGTCAATCTCAACAAATCGAAACTAATGTGCCGATCAGTGCACGCCAAAACCCTAATATTGAAATACCGGCGACCCTATACAAAGGAAAACTATTTGGATTGGGATTGGATAAGTTTAAAGGAAAGTGAATACAGAGCATGGCGCCCGAGTGGGACGACTTTAAATTCCTTAGAAAAGACGAATTGGAACTTACTTTAGCCTTTTGCAAGAACAAATTAAAGTCAATTTCTTTTGTAGCCATGACGGATATCATTCAAAAGATGATCTTGGGTTTGAATGAACTTGCTTTAGTTCCTTAATTCTTATAATTGGTTTATTTATTTATTTTATTTAATGCGAATCCCGATATTCTTTTGTTTGAATGAAATTTCAATGATTTCTAAAGTCATATTTGAGTTAATCGAAGTTTAACCAAGATATTTTTTTTATTAATTCCGGGCATGGATACCATCATGCGAGAAGATAGCCAAAAGAAAGCTCAAAACCGACTCGGTCAACATATCCCATCGGCCCCGCCTTCGCTCGAAAGAGAGCCCGCCAAAATTCTGAACTGCTTCGTACCACATCAATATTTCGATACGGGACTTTTCCGACACGACGCATTCATGAATCTCAACGGTTACACGTATGGCGTGTTCAACGAAAGCTCTTAAAAAAAATAAGGAAAAAAGAAAACCTTTTGAACCCAATATTAATTATTAACGTGTCCTTTTTTTTTTCCAATGGACAACAGCACATGCAGCAAAAAGTTTTATGGGGCCAGATGCGCTCATACTATTCTGAAGTCTTCCGTGACGTGGATATATATACACACTTTAGGAAAATAATAGAAACCGGGCTCTCCGGTCCATTAAGGGTGCCCATGGCAACTATTTTGTACCTAGAAATAGATTATGGGCAAAAATAATTTTTTTTATTCTGTACCCGAAAATAATTTCTAAGCATTTGAAGGCGTTTAGTAACTGCCTAAAATTTCTATTTTTAGAATAGAAAAAGAACAGAAATGCGTTTGGTAACTACACAAAATTTCATTTTATTAATAATATTTTAATGATATTTTGAATTTTTTAATATTTCTTTTTTTTTTCTTTTTTCTTTCTTTCTTTCCCCTCCCTTCCTTGGCCATGGCCGGCCGCCGGCATCGGCAACCGGCCACAGGCCAGGGCCGGCGGAGGCGTCGCCGCCCTCACCGCCGCCGCCCTCACCACCGGCCTCGCTAGATCTGGGAGAGACCTTGCCATCGCGGCCGCAAGCCGCCCTCGCCGGCCCTGGTCTGTGGCCGGTCACCGGCGGGTGGTGGGGCCGAAGAACA